TGAGCAATAAGAGCAAAGCAGGAAGCATCACAATTCCTGACTTCAAGTTATACCATAAAGCTACAGTAACAAGCAGCATGGGACGGGCACAAAAACAGACATGTAGATCAATAGAATAGAATAGAAGATTCAGAAACAATCCCATGTACATACAACCATGCGATTTTTTTTTTTTTTTTTGAGACAGGGGTCTCATTATGCAGTTCAGGCTGTCCTTGAACTTGCAGTGATCATCCTGCCTCAGCCTCCCAAGTGTTTGGATTAGACATGCATCACCACATCTGGCTAAGCACCTGATTTTTGACAAGGGCTTAAAAACATACACTGGAGAAAAGATAGCCTCTGTAACAAAATGGTGCTGGGAAACAGGTTATCTATGTGCAGAAGCATGAGACTAGACCCATATCTCCTACCCTGTATTAAAAGCAAACAAAAATGAATAAAAGACAGATATATCAACAGAAAGCTTAAAAATGCTGGAAAATAGCACAGGAGAAATACTTGAAGCCATAGGCACGGGCAAGGACTTCTAAAACAGAATTCTAGTAGCTTAAGAAATAATACCAAGAATCACTAAATGGGACTACAGAAAACTAAGAAGTTTTGATATAGCAAAGGAAACAACTAACAGCATGAAGAGACAATTGGCTGAATAGGAAAAAATTTTGCCAGCTACTTTTCTGATAGGGAACTAATATCTAGAATATACAAAGAAGTCAAAATAATTAACTTCCCCAAAATCAATAGCCCAAACAAAAAAATGGATAAACGAACTGTGTACACACTTCTCACAAGAAAAGTACAAAGGGCTGATAAGTACATGAAAACATGTTCATCTTTGGCCATTAGGGAAATGTAAATAAAAAAAAAAAATCGCCGAGATTCTATCTTACTCCAGTCAGAATGGCTATCAGCAACGAATGCTGGTGAAGACAGAGAAAAAGGAACCCTTCTACAGTGTCGGTGGAAATGTAAAGTAGTACAACTGCTACAGAAATCGGCATGGAGGGTCCTCAAAAAAATTGAAAATAGAGGGCTGGGGATTTAGCTTAGCGGTTCCACCACCTGTCTTGCAAGCACAAGGTTCCAAGTTCAATTCCTGGTACCAAAAAAACACACACACAAAACTAAAGATAGAAATTCCATTTGACGCAGTGATACCTCTTCAGGGTATATTCCCCCAAGAGTTTTAAAACATCATACTATAGTGATGTCCACATACCCATGTATATAGCAGTACAATTCACAGTAGCTCAGCTCTGCAAACAGCCTAGGTGCTTACCAATGGATGACTGGACAAAGAAAATGTGGTGTATATATACACACTGGTATTTTACTCAGCCATAAAAAAGAATGAAATCGTGGCATTTGCAAGAAAATGGATGGATCTTGAGACCATAATGTTAAGTAAATCAAACCCACATATGAATAAATTAAAGAGCAAAATAAAGACATACTTCTTGGAGTTGGGGAAGGGAATTGGGAAGGGGGAGGAGAGGGACAGAGACAGGACAGGGAAAGGGAAGGAAAATAATGGAAAGGGTATACATAATCTCAATACCCCCAAATGAATACATTACATAAGGCAAACATACATCAATAAAAAAATGACACAAAAGGAAAAAGGGCTGGGGATATAGCTTAGAAGTAGAGTGCCCCTAGTTTGCTCCCCAGTACTGCGCCAATAATTTTTTTTTCTTTTTTTATTCATTAAACTTATTGGTACATTTTAGGTATGCAATATGATGACACTCATCATTGGGATCTCGTACCTTTACATGATGTATCTTGGTTCTTATTTTTTCACCATTCCCTTGCCCTTCCTTCAACCCCTCTGCCCCTCTCTATTTACAAAGACTTTGCTTCTATTTTTTCCTTTCTCTCTTTCCTTTCCCGTACCCTACCCACTTCCCACCTCCCCTTCTCCTTTAGACCTTTTCTTCCTATTTCACATTATCAAATTATACAATTTGAACCTTATTTGCACTTTGAGTTTCTCATACCAGAGAAACTGTTCTGTATTTACAAGTGTGTCCTATTTACTTCACTTAGGAGTAGGGCCCCGAGGAGCAGGGGATTTAGCTCAGTGGTTCCGGTGTCTGCTTCGCAAGTGCAAGGACCCGAGCTCCATCCCCCGGTACCAAAAATAAGAGTGTGGCCTTGATATGCATCCAAAAGGCAAACACAAATTCTTTGCCACTCATCCCATCGAGGAGTGGGGTCATTTCTTCCTCCCTTGAATCCCAGCTGACCTCTAACTTGTTTCAACCAAAAGAATACATTGAAAGTAATGGTGTGTAATTTGCAGGCCACGCCTTAAAAGAGCTGCAGCCTCCACTTTGGTGTTTAGAACGCTCCTTCCTGGATGTGCGCCACGCTATGAGGAAGGCCAAGCACCCATGGGAAGCCCCGGATCTTCCACTTGTCCCAGTGGCCGGGTCGGCACCACAGCAGAGAGAAGAACCTCCCACAGAAACATGAAAAGTAGTAAGTTCTTACTACTGTCCGCTGTAAATTCCTTACTCGGCAACAGGAAGTTGAAACCCAGCCGTTCCGCTCCTAGGTGTGTACTCCAAAGATGCACAAAGAGACACGTACAGTATAGGCGCATTTACCACAGCATTCTCTGGATGGGCCCAAAAGAGGAAGTGACGTAACATCCGCTAACAGGAGCCGGGGTAAATAAACTGGAATAGTCGTGCAACTGCATAGTTGTTACGGTCAGCGGGCCAGACCTACCCACGTCACCCGTGATTAATCTCACTCACAAAATAGTACATAAAGAAAGGCTGCAGCCGGGCCTGGTGGCGGTACGCCTGTAATCCCAGCACTCTGGAGGCTGAGGCAGGGGGATTGCTGCCAGCATAGGATACACAGTGAGTTCCAGAGCAGTCTGAACTACATAGTGAGACCCTGCCTCAAAAAAAAAAAAAGGCTGCATGGCTTGATACCTTTTATGAAAAAGGAAAAAGGTACAGTCATGTATGTTGATGGGTGCCTTCATGTTTAATGCACAACACATATTCAGAATGGGGAAATCGCCGTCTCAGTTTCCCTGTGAAGAGGTTAGAGGACGCAGGGAGGGGGGAATTCACAGGGAACTTCAGGCTTATCTGTGAAGCTAAGTTTCTTTCGTTTAAGATATGAAGCAAAAATGGCAAAATGTTGAAATTTGGCAGAACTGGGAAGTGAGCAAGAGGTGCTTTTCCTCTGACGCTTCAAATACTTCATTAAAAAAAAAATGCTTAGAACAAAAAGAAGAGAATGAATGAATGACCCTCTGCCCTCCCTTCATTTCAGGGAGATGAAGGCTCCCGTTAGCAGATTCTGGGGCCTTGCCACAAGGGCCACGTCATATCCTCCACATTCTGTAGTTCCGTCAACCCTGCCAAGAAGCAGCCCCACCTAAGACATCCGGCCTGGCCTGACTGAGGTCAAGGTCTAGGGGTTTAAACTCAGTCTTGAGCCTAAACATTTGTTATCGCCTGAATGTGTGCCCCTTCCCCAAATTCACCAGAAATGGATTAAAATCCTCATCCCCAAGGTGATAATGTTAAGAGGACCTCTGGGAAGTAATGAGGTCATGAGGCTGTGGGCCCATGTAAAAGAGACCCCTGTCCCTCCTGCCATGTAAGGGACACAGCAAGAAGGTGCCATCTGTGAATCAGAAAGCAGGCCCTCACCATGACCCAATGTGCTGGCATCTTTTTCTTTCTTTTTTTCTTTTTTTCTTTTTCTTTTTTTTTTTTGTGTGTGTGTGGTACTGGGGATTGAACCCAGGCCTTCACACCCAGCTACATCCACACCCCATTTCTTTAAAATTTTGGAACAGGTCCTTCCTGAGTCTCTAAACTGCCTAAGCCTGGCTCGGGTTCCTAAAGTACTGGGATTACAGGCCTGGTGGCATGCCAGCATGTTGAACTTGGAGTTTCTTGCCACTTTCACTATGAGAAATCCATTTCTGGTGTTTCTAAGTTGCTCCGTCTAGGGTATGTTAACAGCACATGAAAGTACTACATATTTTCACATACTGTCCACATTTAGACTCCTGAGTTCCCACAGTGCCCAGCGAGAAGCTGGTGTCTGAAGGACAAGGACATCCTAGCAGGACAGGGCCACTCAGTGCACCAGGGCCTCAGGGTCTCCCTTCCTCCCCATCCCTCCCTACCTCCCTTTTGTCACCTGACATCTGGGAACACAGGAACGGAGAAAGAGTGACTTAGTCAGGGGGTCTTCCAGACCCTCTAGGAGAGGGGTCAGCTGGGAATGAATCCTCTTCCTTTCTGTGGAAATGGGCTAATTATCCACCCTAGAGAGGCTCCATCCAAACTCTCTGGAGCTGTGGTTTTAAGAAATGGTCAGTATCCCAAAACATCATTTCTCTCACTTCTTCCTTCCTCTGTCTCCGGGGCTGGTACGTCCCAGAATCTTCCCAAGCATTCTGAAGCTGCCTCTTACTCTGCCTATTTGTTTGGTACTTGGTGCTCTTGGGCAGTATTCACACAGGAGCCTGGTGAGCTTCAAAAGAGGTGGGCACTGCCCTTCCTCTCCACACAGTCTGCTGAGGAGGCTTGGAAACAGCAGGGCAGGAAGGCGGGGAAGCACAAGGATTCTGGAGCCAATTATGGCCGAATTTGATTGCAGAACCTTAACTTGGGCCTCGTGGTCCACATCTGCAGAACAACAGGGGAAAACTAGGGGACTTCCCTGATTTCCGGCCAGTGCACTAGGGAAGGCGCTGTTGGCATTTAGAACAGGCTGTCTTTTGTTGTAAAGGATTAGCCCACGTGTTATGCGATATTTAACATCCCTGGCCTCCAAATCCCTCAATGTCAGCCGTGTCTCCAGTCCCTGGGAAAACCAAGATACATTTCCCAGTAGACCGCCAAGCCTGCCGCCCAGTCAAGAACGCTGAATTCCCTGAAGGCAAGAACCATGACTTCAGATCACCAAGCCTGTGTCCCCTGCAGGGACTCTGTGCATTTACTCCTTTCACATACCTTTGTTTTTAATAATATAAGTGCCCCAGGGCGGCTGTGTGATTTGCGGGCACTTGTGCAACACCAGTGAGTGGCCCCTGTTCTCCCCAGGCTGCAGCCAGGCCGGTAGACAGCCCTCACCTTATAAGTCCTGGAGCTCAGCTCAGCTGGACTTGGCTGTCTGAGCCCCGTGGTGGGGTGAGGTGTCAGGGAGGGTGTGTCAGAACCGGGATGACACCATGGAGCTCTGGGGCACAGTGACATGATACTTCCATTCTGGTTGCCTTGACTTCAAGCCAAATGACCTGCCCTACCCTGCTCCCCAGCCAGGTCACGGACTCTCAGCCCAGCTCTGCCCAGAGAGGACTGTGGACATGTCCACTACATGCCCATGACCTCTTTGGGGCCGTGACAACTTCAGGGAATGCCCTTAGTATAGGCGCTAACCCTTGGGTGCGACACCTCCCACCTCTGAGCCTGTTTCCTCTTTTGTACATGGAACTCACACGATGCTGAAGTTATATAGCGTATCTGGAGAGCAAATGTACAGCTGGGGGCACTGCTGTGTCTCTGTTCCTTCCCCTCCCTCCCTGACAAGAGGCGTCCCTCATGTCAGAAAAACCCTGACTTGGGAGTCCGGTTCTAGCTCAGGTATGTCCCAGCCAGAGGATTTTTAGTAAATGATTTTACTTCTTTGAGCACCTGATTAACTATCAAATAGACAATATAACTATTGCTGACTTTCCTACCTCCCAGAAGCTGTCATGACAATTAAATGAGCTAAGGCTGTGGAAAGATTTTTTTTTCAAACTCCAAAGCCAGCATACCCTCCCAACTGCCTCCACCCAATTTTCTGGCCCAAATTCTAGCACCACTGGTGCAGGAGGTGAGCAAAGCCTTGCAATCTGTTCCTAGTCACTCTCTCCATGGGGGCAGCTCACTGGCTTCCAGCAACTCTCCAGGATTTTGGAGTTGCCCATGTATTCATTCAGTGACCTGATTTCCTTCTCTTTGCTATGTAAAAAAAAAAAAAAAAAAAAAAAAAAAAAAATAAAAAAAAAAAAAAAAAAAAAAATCGTCATTTTCTTTCAAGTTGGCTTTTTTCTCTTTGGTGTTTATTTTCCGTTCCTGAGAGTAGAAAGCCTCCCCACCCCTTTTCTTTGCCCAGGAAGTGTTCTGGACAGAGCAGACTGCTGGGGTCCACAGGCCTGATCAGGTAATCAGAGGCAAATGTCTCTTCATTGGTCAGAGAGAGTTCACAGCTGTGCAGCCTGGAAAGAGGTTTTATTACACACACACACACACACACACACACACACACACACACACCTCGCAGTTCACTTTGTTAGGAACAAATTGTGAAACATTGGGTAACACACCTTGGAAAACACGATATATTCCTGCAGAACTGGCAGCCCAGTCATTGCCCCCACACCCTTAGGGCCTGCAGTGTTTGAGTCACTTCTTGCTGAGAGGCTGGGGTGGATACTATCTTGATAAAAGCTGTTCCCTCCAAAGGACACTTAAAACCAGAGTTGTCTGTGTTTCACCCTTTTCAAAGGAATCTGCAGCCCTAAGCAGGACAACTTTGATGGATGCGGCTTAATCTTTCTGTGCTGTCATTGTAAAACTCACTAATCCTCAGACACTGAAGCTCAAAACCCATCCTGGGGCTTCTTTCCCCAGGAAGTTGGCCTGACTCACAGAGCACACATCCGCAGCTATAAGTGCAGGCCTCACCCCTTGAAATTCCAATTCTGTTGTCTGCAGACTGCACTCTCAAGTATTTATCTGGACCTTTATCATCCACACCACTCCTCTGTAACAGGGGAATCCTACACCACAAGGACAGTCCTGCTCCTTGTCACAGCCCCACTGTGTCAATACAGAGCTGACCCCGAAATGATCAAATGAGTCAGACTTCACTCCTTACCTCTGACCTGACCACCATCTTCCATCTGTGCCAAGGAAGAAACTTTCTCTAAGAACCAGAGTCAAATGTCACCTCCACTGCTACTCCACGCAACTGATTCACACCCAGCGTGGAGCACAGTGCTTGGTGTAAATATCTAAATATCGGTTGGATTAAATTGCACCAGTATTGAACATGTACTCAGAACGTGCTTAGGTTTGGAAAGAAAATATCACTCCTCACTATCACTGATAGAAACTTCTTACGAGCCCCCAGGGAGATGTGACAGGTTCAAACTTGCCAGTTAAAGACAGTCTGGGTTAGGGCATGGCTCAGGGGCAGAGTGCTTGCCTAGAGTGCCCAAGACCTTGGATTCCAAAGTGTAAAGAAATAAAGACAGCGCATTTTAGAGACCTAAATGCCAGAATACACAGCCATTCACCAGATGGTCTCAGGGTCCCTATAACTCTTTGCACATTTCTTATCTCAAACAGGGGAACCTAATTTTTTAACAAAATCTTGCGGGGCAGGAAATGGTACTGTTTGGCCTTATCCCTTTCCCTGCATTGGATCTGCCCTCTACCCCAGAACAGCCAGCCCAGAGGGCCTTCCGGTGCATGGAAGAAGCAATGATGGGGTCCCTCATGCCAGATGTCAGCGATGCTAGAGGAACTGAAACTCTCTGCTCTCAAGCTTATTGTCTTGCTTTAGGTTCAAGTGAAAATGTACCAGTCAATGGTACAGTGATTGTTGTTCTAATAGACACCCTTTGTCTCCTAAACCCTCTTGGGCTGATAAGGACTTCACAGCAACATGATTAATAGGCATGGAAATGCATACGGGAAAAATGTTATATGGAGTAAGATTGTACTTATAATGCAATCTTAATTATATAACCAATCGTCATTATTTACCAATTCTATGTTTTTAAACTTGTCTACTTAATATTTATAACCCCCCAAGTGATACTTTGTTCTGCCGTGGTAAGACTCAGACTCGATGGCTGTACCCTGAGCCACACCCTTGGCCCCCAGCCAATGCCTGTAGCCCTTTCACGGTCTTAGAAAAGAAGAGATGAAAAGCTAGACCTGCCCAAAGCGTATGCATGCAGGTGAAGCCAAGCACGCTTACACTGTGCCTTTTTGTTTCAGCATTTTTGTTGTGCTTTTCGTTGGTAATTTTGCTGTTTAAAATGCCACCAAGCACAGCACTGAAGAACCAGCCAGTGTTTCTGAGCGCAAGAAGTCTACAAAGTGCCTTACAAATATTGTACATCTCAGATCAGTTTCCTTTGTACATGAATTAAGAGCCATTGCCCACGAGTTGAGGGCTAGAGAGTCAACAACACATATTAAATGTGGTGTCTTTGAACAGAAACGGGCATAAAACAAGATTGTGCACTGACCAGTTGATGAAAATGTGATCATGTCAACGAAACCTAAATCTCTATTTCCCCAAAGAGCAATGGGTTATAGTAATCCAGTGTTAGGGTGACTTTATAGAACTTAACTACCACAAATGACAAGAATTTAAAAAGAACCACTCAATGCATGATATTCTATATTCAGAAGAACTTTATCACAATTTTTGGTCACTAGCATCTGGCTTCCCTTCTATGTGTCTTGACCTCTGAGGAAGCCACCACCCACTGCCGAGCCAGAGCAAGGGCAGGTGGCCTGGGCTCTGTCAATCAGATCTACTTGGCCTTAAGTCTAGGCCAAAAAGGGAGAGGAATTTGAGAAATGATGTGCAGTTTCTCTGGTGGTGGAGATAGTGGCAGGAGTTCCAGGGGTCAATGCTAACAGGGTCAGTGCGGGCTGTGGTGCCCAGGGCATCCTTCACCTGCTCTGAGGGTGCTGCCAGGGTATGCCGCTGCTGGCTGTGGGCCCTGTCTGCCATTCCAGAGGTGGCTCAATAGCCTTTTAATAAAGTCCTTTGGGGTCTAAATTAGTTAGGGTTGGTCTTTACTATTTGTAGCCAAGAATTCTGTGTGTGTTTGTGTGTGTGCATGTGCAAGTGCGTGAGCATGTATTTAGTTGTTGTTGTGTGTACAAGTGAACAAGTGAACAGGAGTCAAGGAGGGTTGGTGGAGAAGGCTTCACAGGAGAGATCCTTGGGCTGGGTTTGCAGGAATAGAGGGAGAGTTCCAGCAGACAGACACAATTCATGTTGACATGGTGAAATGAGCAGCATGGCACACTGGGAACATTCTCAGCCAGGTGGCTGAGTTGGTGTGTAATAACAGACATTGGTTTTTTCATAGGTGATCTTAGAAGCGGAAGTCTGAGATCGGTGTGATGGCATGCTAAGGGCAGTCTTCCTGGTGTGAGGAGAGATCGTTCTCATAAGGCTACAGTCCTATTGGCCAGGATCCCACCCTTATGACATTTTTGGAGCTCATTTACCTCCTAATTACTCTATCTCCAGATACCTTCACATGGGGATCAGGAGTCTGCCCATAAATTTGGTGGTTGGTGAGGGGGACGCAATTCAGTCCATAACTAAACTTCAAGGAGCTTCCTTGTGTGGGAAGGAGCCTGGGCTGGAGCCAGAGACGAGGGTGCCCACCAGCTTCACTGGCAGCAGCTTTGAGTGAGTCCTATGCTGTTTCTGGCATTAGGTGGAAAATAGAAGCCGTGTGTGGACATGAGAGAGCTTCCTGTGGTTGTAGGCCTAGGGGACCTGCCGCAGGGTCTGTGTGTCCTTGGGAGAGGGGACCCTGGGAGGAGAAGAGGTGGGGGTCAGCAGATTCCAACTTAAGGAGAGGTCTAGAAATGACAGGTTTTCAAGTACATGGGCTGAAGGAGAAATTTGGAGAAGTAAGGGATTTTGTTAGTTCACCAAACCCCTTCAACTCGACTGCTTTCGCTTCCTGACTTTTGTTACCTGTTACTCAGCCACAAGTAGGGAACCATTTCTGTGCTGCAAGACTCAGCTCTCCTAGTCTGAAAGTTTATTTAAAAAATCAATCTGGGGCCGGGATTTAGCTCAGTGGTTCCACCACGTGCCTCGAAAACTCAAGGTCCCAAGTTCAATCCCTGGTCCAAAAATCAATCAATCAATCTGGAGGAAAGATGAGGAGAATAATGAGGTGTAGAACCCACTTCTCACTGGGGCCCAGACCAACAGTCGCAGCACCACTAGATACTTGTAAGACAGGCACAGTCGTCTCAGGCCCAGCCAAGGCCTAATGAATCAGAATCTGCATTTTGCAGTACCCCCAAAGTTTTACATGCACATTAGTTTCAGAAGCCCTAGGGTGGTAGAAAGAAAGCCATCCTGGAAGCCACAAACCCAACAAAGGGAAGACTCTGCTACTCTTCCAGGTGACTTTGGGCAAAGACACAGTTACCTCTGAGGCTTGGTTTCTGTAAATGGAGAGTGGAAGAGCATTTTTCCCTAAGGGCTCATTACTTCCCACTGAGATGCTTTGCCTGGAACAGATCAGTTTGTCATGGACGTCTCACCTGGTGTTGGAAACAACTATCCTATCTCAATGCCCCAGTCCCCTGCAGAAACTCTGGACTATATAAGCTACCACGAGGGAGGCAGGCAACCAACAGCTTTGCAGAAACAGAAAAGCTAAGCGTTCATGGGACCTTTGTTGTGTTTAAACTGGGAAGTCAACACATCCAGTCAAAAGGAAATAGGACCTGGTGCTTTGATAGAGGGGCACTTGGAAGTAGACTCATTCCTGCACATCCTATGTCCTAGTGGGGTTTAGCAAACAGCATCTTAAACTTGAGCTTGCATCAGGATCACACTGTTTAAACCCAGATTCCTGGAGCCCATCCCAGAGTTTCTGACTCAGAAGGTGCTTGGACCAAATTGTGTCCCTCAGCCCCAATCAGATATTGAAGTCTTAGCTCCCAATGTGAATGACTGTACAGCTGGCCCAGGGTACCCGCTGGTTCTGCACCCACGGAT